TCATATCTCCCACCACCATTTTAACATCAAATTTTGGGATCTTTCCTAATGACTGATTAACTTCTTCATAAAACTCACTTTTAACATCTATTTCTTTATTTTCAGTTGGAGAGTGAATATTTATTATTAAAATCTTTCTACATTTCCCTTGTAACCTAATTCTACATATTCTTTCCGATACTGCTTCAAAATCTCAGTGGACAATAAATGGACTTAGATGCTCCCTTATCATAAACCCCGTTCCCAAATACCTATTCTCCGCTCCGCTGTTCAAAAACATATATTTGTCTACTAACATTCGCTCTTTTCTATTTTGTTTTGTCTCTTGTAGTGCTAAAATGTCTATTTTATATCTTTTCATAGTCTGAACCAAATTTTTCAAAGACCCTTCTTCATGTGTGCCTCTAACATTCCACGTCCCAATTCTAATCAAGCTTGTCCTAAATTTGTTCTTTCGTTTTTCCATAGTCGTGTTTGTAGTTCTGATATTCGTGCCTTTCATCGCTGGATCCTTGTGTATATAGCTGCCATCCATACCCGCTCCAGACTTTAAAAGTTTTTTGTAGGCATACTCCTATCCATTCTGGCCAGTCTTCCCTCATGGGTATCCCATCTCCATTCTTCTGTTCCAATGAATAGCTTCCTGAAGCCAATTTTAACCTGTTTGCCTTTGCCCCTTTCCTTCTTTGCTCGAATACGTATTTGCTTTTGTATTTCTCTATCTTTTTTTGACAGGTCATCTTGTATGTATATAAGTTCTCTTGTTTGTCTTTTCAGTTTACTCTTATTTTGCATAATTTTGTTTTTTTCTGTACGATTTGGCAATTTCAACAGGTATGTTTTGTTTCCTAGCTTGAGTGCACTTTCTATATCGACTTCTATCTGTAATTCTTTTTCCATGAAGTTGGATAGCGAGCTTTTAATTCTTCTTTATTATGAGAACCTAGTCGCAAGCCTTGTACCACGACATTATTTTTTCTGTTTTCGTTTCCTAAACGATCCAATCTATCATTCATATTCACTAAGGTTTTGCTTAATGTTCTATCATTTTCTTGCAACCTCATGTTTTCTTCTCGCAGCGCTCTTATTTCCTCCCTGTATAGGGTGACTTGTAATGTCACGTATTCCTGTTAAGAGGTGATAGATTAGGTCAAAAGCAACCGATTTTGTCCTATAATGTCCTATCCAGAAGTTAACCGTTTTTGAGTTGAATATATATATATATATATATACGTATATATATATATTTATATAACAAAAAGTACGAAAATAAAGGCAAAATCCGCAAAAAGAAGGAAAGTGGATTCGAGAAGAAAATAGGATAGGTAACCCGAGCGATATGTATTTCTGCTGGTTGGCTTCATCAGGCACGAAATGAATGCACATATGCAACTACAAAAGTAGATAAACATGCTCATACATCCGGATACGGGTGTAACCTGAGAAAATAAAGATGGAGAGGGAAAAAAATCACACACAAAATCCTCAAAAAGAGCCAACCTACACATTGTAGTATGTGTAGTATTTCTCTTTGTATATTTATATATATATATATATATACATGGTGGCGCATCGAAAACGAAACAGACGCATTTACTGGCAGCTCAGTTTTTTTTTGAAAAGTCTCAGACCCGTCGATTTTGTTTTCGAGGGGGACACAAGTTTTTCAAAAAATTATGTTAGCACGTGCAGCCCCTTAAGCGGGGGTGTCACCACCCCCAAAACCTTAAATGGAAAGGGGGGACGAGTAATACCTTATTTTAAAGGTCTTTCAATTCCCTTTATAATGACATAAAATTAATGTACTTCAGTTCAGTAGTTTTGAAGATTTATTGATTTAAAGCTTAAATAAAACGAATACTTCATCATTAAAAAAATGATGAATGAACTGACCCGTTAGTGCAATATTTGAGGAGTAATTTGAAGGCACTCATTCACAATTCTTTATCGCAGGTCTTCTAATGTTGTTGGCTGAGTAGCATAGATTTTGCTCTTTAAATGACCCCACATAAAGAAATCCACAGGTGATAAATCTGGCGACCTTGGGGGCCATTCAATGGCACCTCTTCTACCAATCCATCGATCTGGAAACGTCTGATCTAAATATTGTCAAACGCGGGTGGGGCACCATCCTGTTGGAACATCAACCTATTCGCAATGTACCGCCGATCATTCTGATATTCAATTATGGCTGTTAATGCAGGATCTATGGCGTCTTCCAGTAATTCCAAATACATTTCACCAGTCAAATTTCCAGGTAAGAAAAAAGGACCAACTAAATGATCACCAAAAATACCAGCCCAAACATTCAATTTTTGTGGCTGCTTTGTATGAACCTCATGATAAATTCTGGGATTAGAATCGGACCAATATCGGCAGTTATGACGATTTACTACGCCATTTAAGAAAAAAGAACATTCATCGGAAAAGCAAGTGTGTAATAGAAAATGTTCATCGTTTATAATTCGTTCACTCGTATCTTCACAAAATTGTAATCGCCGATCAAAATCGTCTTCATTAAGTTCTTGTACCAGGTGAATTTTATACTGGTGAAAACTATGGGCTTTAGAATCCGTTGGACAGCACGTCGACTAACACCACACACAGTCTCCAATTTGCGGGTACTTAACGTAGGATCTACATAAACTTGCCCTAAAACCCCCACTTCTATTGCTTCGTTCCTTATGAGATTTTCAATGTTGCGTTTTTTATTGGCGACTGACCCAGTTTCCCGAAATTTAGCTACAAGTTCTAGAACATATTTTCGATGCACGTTACTGTTCTCATGTCGCTCATTGAATATTTCTGCTGTTCTATTAGCGCACTGATTATTTCCGAAAAATATTTCGATAATTTCAACTCTTTTTGCTGTGGAATATACCATGGTTAATTTATGTAATAAAGCGTTACAAGTCATTTTAGCAACAATGTTTGGACAAATCAATCGCAAACTATGTACTAAATTCCTATTTAAAATAAGTACGAGATATTTCCTTATCTTTCTTCAAGAAATAACTTTTTTGTTACAAAAAACGCTCCAATAGCTATTTTCAACATCGAAATGATAAACAAACCATGAGCGTAGTGAAGAAAAGCATTTACTTATTAAGTAAATTCTTTTAGTCAAATTTCTTCTGAAACTAGTACAAACTAATCTGATGTACCTATTAAAGTCTACTTTAAGCTTTAAATCAATAAATCTTCAAAACTACTGAACTGAAGCTCATGCATTTAAAATAAGGTATCACTCGACCCCCCCTTTCCATATAAGATTTTAGGGTTGGTGTCACCCCCGCCCAGGGGGCTGCACGTGTCTGAGCGTTTTTCCAAAAAAAGAACTGAGCTGCCAGTAAATGCGTCTGTTTCGTTTTCGATGCGCCAAACTGTATATATATAGAAAAAATGATCATGCGGAGAAAGGTATATAACAAAAAGTAGAAAAATAATGTGCAAAATCCGCAAAAAAGAGGAAAGTGGATTCAAGCAGAAAATAGAATAGGTAACCCGAGCGATACGTGTTTCTGCTGGTAGGCTTCATCAGGCCCGAAATGAATGCACTTATGAAACTACGAAAGTAGATACAGATGCCCACACATCCGGATACGGGTGTAACCGGAGGAAACGAAGATGGAGAGGGAAAAAAACGACACACGAAGTCCACAACAAGAGCCAACCTACACATTGTAGTATAAAATGGTTAGAAGACCTCGAATTTTCAAGGAGACATCTAACCATAACCACAAGGACGGTTATAGCCACTTGATGTGGTACTTCAAGCCCAAAGGATCTACAAAGAGAAAATGATTATGCGGAGAAGGGTATATAACAAAAAGTATAAAAATAATGGACAAAATCCGCAAAAAAGAGGAAAGTGGATTCGAGCAGAAAATGGGATAGGTAACCCGAGCGATACGTATTTCTGCTCGTTGGCTTCATCAGGCCCGAAATGAATGCACATATGAAACTACGAAAGTAGATACACATGTCCACACATCCGGATACGGGTGTAACCTGAGGAAACGAAGATGGAGAGGGGAAAAGACGACACACAGTCCACAACAAGAAGATATATATGCTCATGTGACCTAAGTGCACGTGACAACAGTGTCAAGAATCGCAGTGCAAATATAGCATCGTAAAAGTGGTATTATGCAGTAGAATAAAAAAAATACTGTGTTGCTAGTGTAGAACACCACATCCGGATGAAAAGACTGGTAAGAGATTACGATATTAAAAATTCCAAGGTGGTTAAAAACCTCAAAACAGACGACAGGCAACGAAGCATATTGCCAAGTATTCGGAAAAATCGTGGCAAGTCCAGTGAAAGTAAAATGAATACATGGCAGCAGGCAAAATTGAAGAAAACAATAACTGACAAGACTAGAAAATCGCACAACAATACCTACATTCACATTCAAGTCGACAGTCAAGTTGAAGAAAACACAAACACCCACGAAAATTTACTAGTAGATCTCAGAAATAAATTAGCTACCGAGCTGGCGAAGAACGAAGAACTGAGTAGCGCTATAATGTCATTAAACTGCAAGATAGAGAAACTAGCACAGGAGCTGAAGTATGAAGATAAGACTATAGAATAACTTGAAGGAATTATAAATAATGTAAAATATAAGACAGTCGTTACTGATCGGTACGTGCAGACGGACAGAAGTAAGAAAAACAGTATCCATGTACAGACTCAAGCAGTCACATCAAATAGCACACAAACTCAGACACAACTATCACCAATACAGAACGAGCCTAAAAGGGATAGAAATCACCTAAACTGTATCAAAGCAAATACTACAGAAGACAAGAGGTGTAAGCTATTAATCCTGGCAGATGAGCAAGGGCAGAATCTGATACATATACTTCGAAGAGTTCTTCCTTTGGATCAGTTTGCGGTTATATCGTAGTTACGTCCCAATTCCCAACTGAACAATATTATCAAAGATACACGAAAACTAACAACTGATTTAACGAAGTCCGACTAGGTACTCATCATGGGCGGTTCTAATGATGCGCTGACAAGAGCTTTCATTCAATGTGAACCTCTCAGAGAAACTTTAAAAGTACTGAAAGCTACCAATGTAATAATAGCTGCAGTACCGCAATGGAGATGTCATAGGCCTGTTTTAAATAACATTATAAGAGATATAAATGACCAGCTGCAACGAATTTGTGAACAAAACGGAGTTCAACTTCTTAATCTAAACCCAAATCTACATCACTACTACAGGGAGAGGTCCAATGTACTGAATAATAAGGGTAAACGCATCATTTGCAATAACATAAAATTGTTGGTAAGCACAAAGAGACCAAGTGAATCTTCCATAGAAAGTGAAATACAGAACGGAACAAAAACACATAGGGATATAGGGACTGTAGGAAGCATGCACCATCCGAAAATCAATTATCAAAATATAAGAGCACCCAAATCATCATTTCCAAAGTTGATTGGAAACCAAAACCGAGGAAAACTTTGAATCCTCTAACGAATGTAGCTTACGATCCACATCGCTACAAAAAGAGCCACTTTTGAATGAACAGCAGTCAAATTTTCTATCAAGAATCCGCCAAGGAGTCATAACGTAAAAATAGTTCATCTAAATGTTCGCAGCATCCAGAATAAATATGATGCCCAAGAACTGTATGTAGATGAAGCATCACCAGATATTCTTTGTGTCACCGAAAAACTCGTAGTGATATGTGTCTATGGATCTCCCTCAGGAGACATAACAATTTTCCAGGAGAACTTGACTTCGCTGTTAAGTCGAATAGCTACCACAAATAATAACATAGTTCTTTGTGGAGATCTTAATATCGATTACAATAAACCATCAATAAATAATCTAGGTACTACTGTTACGGACCAACCCGCATAGCATCAAATTAAACCACTGGTATGTCCAAAACTTCAATCAATTACATGACTACGAACGTCAACTCAGAAAATCTGAAATGTACCATAGAAGATCCTCAAATATCCGACCATGCGGCGCAAATCTTAACGCTACCCTTATCGCCTTCAACAACAAGTCTCTGTCCAATCTTATACTGTGAGGAAAACTTATGATTGTAATCTGGAAGAACTGCGATTAAGTCTTTCTCAAGAATCTTGGAATATTGAAGAGACCGATATAGATGATGCTTTCGAAAAATTCCTCAACACCCTTCTGTGGCGTTTCGATAGGACATGTCCTCAGAAAGTTATTACGGGCAGACCTTTAACAAATCTCAAATCATGGATAACATCGGAGTTAAAACAGTCGAGCAACGATCTACGAAATTTGTAAAAACTTACAAAAGAGAACGAGCAAGATACAAATCTGAAGCAAACGTATATTGAAAGAAAAAAGCAACATCGCAAACTGATCTCAATAGCCAAGCAGCAATATAACTGCAACGAAATTAAAACAGCTATTAATAAGACAAAAAAGATCTGGGAAATAGTCAACCAGGAGCTTGGACGTAAAAAGAACTCTGGAGTAATTTCACTTAAAAATGACAGCTGTGGAGATATGGGACAGATTAGTGTGCCTGACGCTTTTGGGAAACATTTTTCAAGCACAGTAGTAAGTGAGTTCCAACAACACTTCAATGGAGTCTCCCCACTATCAGTAGCAGAAGCTAAAACTCAAGTAGCGCATTCAATATTCTACACTGAGGTCACCGATGAAATTAATCATATCCAACCTTCCAAACAAACAATCGTGTGGTAGTGACGGTGTAACCACTCGTGTTATTAAAGGTCTTTTAAATGAAATTGCAGGTCCTCTCACTACTTTAATTAACATGTCTGTCTATCAAGGCAAATTGCCTAAATCCCTGAAGCTTGCGATAATAGCTCCCGTTCCAAAAAAGGGAGATCCTACTCAAGTTGATAATTATCGCCCCATATCTTTATTGTCAGTCGTTTCTAAAATAATCGAAAGAGCGATTTATTCAAGAATTTCAGGATATGCTAAAAAATTCAACCTCATCCCAAGCTCGCAGCATGGACTTAGGATACTTCATTCAATAGAGACAGCTACTTATGAGTTTGTATGTCAGATATATAAACAGCTCGATATGAATAAATGTATTGCGGGCATCTTTTTTGACCTATCGAAAGCTTTCGATACAATTGACATTGGACTTCTCGAGGAAAAATTATTTTATTTAGGTTTAAGAGGTTTTATATTAGATTGGGTAGTGTCTTTCCTGTCCGACAGGAAATTCAAAACAAAAGTTAACGGAATTACATCCGAAGCGTACAGTATCGACATTGGAGCAGCGCAAGACTCAGTTTTAGCACCCCTTGTAACATTCATTTTCAAACACTTTTTTATTATAATGCTCACAAAGATAATTTTGACAGTTTGTAACTAATCAACAATTTATTTTAGGGAATTAAGCCTTTCCATAAAAGACGTGCTAATAACCGAAAAAATATCCATAAAATCCTTATCTGTCTAGTATCAAAAAAAACTTGCCAAGCAAATCGTTTGACTTTAAACCTCGAAAAGTGATGTTGTACATTCTTATACAAACGCCCCTATTCTATTAAATCATGAGACATCTAAAACTACGACATTCTTGGGAATAGAAATCGATGCAAAGCTCAGCTGGCAACAACACATGGACAGTGTGTGTAAAAAGTTGAGCCAATCATATTATGCGATTCTCAAGCTCAATTTTTGCTTATCAGCGTCAGCTTTACTAGATGTATATTATGCTCTTTTCCACTCACATCATCTTCAATTTGTAGAGCATTTGTTCAACAAAAGAGAATGATCAGACTGATATTCAACATTCGTAGAAGAGAATCCTGCAGAGAGATCTTCAGAAGTAAAAACATCATGACTCGACCAAGCATTCATATTTATAAGTGCGCCATTTCCACACATACAAACAAAACAAAATTTATACAGAACAGAAACATCAACACACATTATAATACAAGGGCAGGTGAGAGTCTGAGTATTCCAAAACACACACTGACGCTGTTCGAAAAGTCACCGGAATACACCTACATCAGAATATATACTAAGTGACATATAAATCCGAACACCCAGTTTAAATGGTTTTATTTTAATAAAATTTTGTATAACTACTTAATGAAGCATAATAAGTAAATGATAAAAATTTCAAAATGATTGCACTGCTTTAAAGCCCTTTGACCTTTAATAATGTGTGGATGCACCCTGATCTGCTAGCATTCTCCAACGCGCCTAGGCATGCCTCTGATCAGGTGGTCAATGTCCTCCTGTGGTATCTCATTCCAGGCAACCACCAACTCCTCTCGAAGTGCTTCTAGAGTCTGAGGAGGACGTTGCAAATTGAGCAATCTCCTACCCATCATATCCCACAAGTGCTCAATTGGGGATAAGTCGGGAGATCTTGGTGGCCATGGTAACAATGTGACATTATTATGTTGAAAGAAGTCTATTGTGACTCTTGCAACATGTGGTCGGGCATTATCTTGTTGGAAAGTTGGATCTGCCAGGGTGTCAAGATAGGGTAAAAGATGGGGTTCTAGAACTTCGTGGATATAACGCTGCGCGTTCATGTTACCTCTGATGAAGATTAAAGGTGACCTGGAACCATAAGCTATAGCACCCCAAACCATAACTCCAACAGTGTGATGAACATGTCTTTCAACAAATAACTGTGGATCCCTCCTTTCACCACGTCGCCTTCTAACCCTGGCACGACCATCGTGCATGCCTAAACAAAATCGAGACTCGTCACTAAAGACAATACTGTTCCATTCCTGATCCCAGAGTGACCGTTATCTGCACCACTCAAGGCGATTACGTCGGTGTTCTCGAGTTAAAGGGAGCACCCAGTGTGGCCGGTATGAAAACAAGCCAAAACTCCTCATTCGTCGGTAAACACTTCGCATGCCAATAGGTCTTCCGTGTTCTGCAAACCATTCATTTGCAATGGACCTGGTAGTGGAGAAACGGTCCCTTAAGGCCAATAATCTTAGGCGGCTAACTTCACGGTCGGTTGTTCTACGGCGGCGTCCAGTGCCCCTTGCTCTTTGCGTACGGCCTCCTCGAAGCCATGCCTGATAACACCTAGTGAATTAAAAAAAAGCAGTATAAAAACCGGAATGTCCAACTGATAAGGCTGAAAATTATTTCACTTGTTATTTACAGTAAGATAAATACATTTACCAACTTTTATCAAAATAAAACCATTTAAACTGGGTTTTCGGATTTATATGTCACTTAGTATATAACAAACTTTCAGCTAGCCTCAGGAATGTCAGTAGTATTGCCAGTTTTAAATGTCAACTACGAAAATTATTAGTTGAAAAATGTTTCTACTCTTTGTCCAAATACCTCGCACTGTGATATATTTTTAAAACTTTTTTTATATGTGAATGTCTGTACGCCTTAAGTTGTTCCTGTTTGTACTTTGTAAATACTTATGTTTGTTTTGTTTTCATTTTTAATTATGTGTACTATGTAACTCCCCCATAGGACGAGTCTTATGTCATTTTTATGATCTACAAGACAATAAATGTCTATATATATATATACAGGGTGGACCATCCATGTGTGGACGGAATATTACTCATAAACAAATACATTTTGGGAAAATCTATTTATGGCATGCTATACATGACATTTCAGGGTACATTAAATATTTGCAATATGGATAAACCAATTCCAAAGAAGAAGATTGATATAACATACTATGGGGTTTTGGTAATTAGCTACTGAGGTGTAAGGTGTTTTGTCCAGAAAAACCGTCCACTTCGGTATCCCCTCAATCCGCCATTTTGAAATTTGGAGTGCTGAATTTTGTATAAAAAAACTTACACACTTCGAATTTTCATTTTTACTCATACAGGGTGGTCAAAAACGCGAATTGAACTTTTTCTCAAAAATTTCAAATGCATCACCCTGTATATTTGTGCAAGTTTGAATCCATTTTTTTATAAGCTTTTTTTGGTATAAGGATTGATTCAGGTGCGCCGTCATGTTGGAAGTACATATGTATCCGAGTTTGCAGGTTGACATCCTCCAAAGGCAAAGGCAAATGCTCGATCAAAAAATTCAAGTATTCTGTGCCTCTTAATCTGTTGTCGAAAAAGAAAGGCCCGATAAGTTGTCTGCCAAGAACTCCTCCCCAAACATTCAAGCTCCATTTATTTTGTAAATCTATTTGCCTAACCCAGTAAGGGTTTTCCGTCGCAAACTAGTGCATGTTATGCCTGTTGACAACACCTATGCTGTTAAAAGTTGCCTCATTGCTAAAAAGAACCTTATCCGGGAAAGTAGTGTCTGCACTCACTTTATTTAGCAAGCAAGTGATATGGATGTGGCACCTATGCTTGTGAATAATCATTTGGACAGAAGTTCTGCATATATCAGTTTCTGTTCCAATTTGCCGTGCACTTAAATGGGGATTTTTCTGCAACTTTAATAGAACCTTCAACTGATTCTTCTCGCTGGTGTCACTTAGATTATTTATACATTTTTTACTATGG